AAATGATCACTGTTTCATCCATCATGTTTCCTTTGAAGGTGGAGTAAAGATTGCAGACCTCGGTTTTTTTGCCTAACTAAAATTATTTTAACCTGCAAGCCAACTCATCCACCTCACAATCATCTCGACAAACGACACATGTCTCAGATTCTTCATTGTCCTCCTCCTCCTCTTTCATTACCCACTAGATCATCTCGACAAACGACACATGTCTCAGATTCTTCATTGTCCTCCTCCTCCTCTTTCATTACCCACTAGTAGGCCTGTCCATCCGGGCCGGCCCGGCCCGGCCCTACCCGGAAATCCGGGCCCGGGCCCGGCCGGATATTTTCTTATTTTATTATTTTATTTTTTTATTTTTTAGATTCCGGGCCGGGCCGGATATTTTCTCATTTTTTTATTTTATTTTTTTATTTTTTAGATTTTATTTAAATTTTAAATTATAAAAAAAGACAAGAAAAATAATAAAAAACAATAATTTTATTAATCACTTAAAATGATATAAATTACAAATAAAAAAATGATAAAAACAAATTCTTTATTAATAATTAATAAATCATTTACAAATTACAAGTACAAATTTATTTTGGAATTAATTGCATCACAATAGATAAGTAAATCCCAACTAGGTTGGCACCTACTCACCTATATCACTATCATTTGAAACTATTTCCAAAATAATTCTTTACAAATTTTAAGCTAAGGCCTAAGATATAAAAATTACAATTTATTCCTTTTAAGCTAAGGCCTAAGATATAAAAATTACAATTTATTCTTTATATCTATCTGCTAGTCCCAATTCTTCAAATTTATCTTCTTTATATCTATCTGCTAGTCCCAATTCTTCAAATTTATCTTCAATTCCAGCCATCCGATCGATGTCTTGTGTTCGCTTCTCGTACCTCCACCAATCTTGTAAGCACATTACCGCTTGTACAGTGTACGGATCTAATCATGTCTTGTGGTCGTCGATCAAACGTCCTGTTGTGTTGAAGGCGGATTCCGAAGCTACCGTCGAAACCTGCACTGTTAATAAGTCACGAACCATAGTGGAAAGTATAGGATATGAAACTGATCCATATACTTTCCACCATTACAAAATATCTAAAGCATTTCCTAAACATTTAACTAAAGAAGCAGATAAATAGTCATCTATTTCAGAAACCTCCAATGATGACGATCCAAGTCCAGATCCACCAGTTAGCTCAGCTACCATTACATACCTATCAAAACTTACACTTTTACCTCGGGATGAGCTCGAAGAAACCGAAGCTGTAGACTGTTGTGTAGCTACACCATGTCTAGCTGCATACTCATCATATAAGGTTTGAAAATAATTTCTATTAGCTAAATGATGAGTAGTAGCAATAAGGGTGGTTCCATCATCTAAGTCTATAATTTGATTACCATACAAGGATTGTAACAAACTTCGAAGGCCAATATCCTTCAAGCATGGATCAATAAGAACCCCCAAACCAAAAATATGAGGAATAGGCCTAAAGTACTTATTAAATTTGCTCTCCATTTGAAAAATCATAGATCCAAAAGTCTCATCCATACGATATTTCCCAAATTTTTTTTGAATATTTAAAATTTGTAAAGCAGCTAAAGTAATGGTTGGATAATAACAGCCAGATAATAACATTATAGGATCATAAAAAACTTGTAATATTTTATTTAAATTACATATAACTGTCCATTCATCTTCAGTTATGCCATAAGTGCTACCAGAACTAGAACTAGAAGCATAATAGTTTATAAAATCAGTTATAATGTCTTTATATTCTATTGCTACACTTAACATTGCATAGGTGGAATTCCACCTATGGTCAACATCTTTTGGAATTAGTCTGGGCTTTACATTTTTTCTTTTACAAAATTGTTTTTATTTTTTAAGTCTTTGTTCAGAAGCATTATGCATGTAAGCAACTGTTCTAACTTTTTCTATCATGGGTTTAATTTCAGTAAATACACTTTGAACAATTAAATTTAAAATATGCAGATACACCTAATATGAAAAAGATCACCATGACATGGCAATGATAAAGTTGATCTGGTAAAATCAACAGCTATATTGTTATTACTTGCATTATCTAGTGAAAGAGAAAATATTCTTTCTGAAATTTCTAATTTCATAAGTTCTTCAATTATTAAATTTGCAACATTAATACCAGTATGTGACTCTTCTATTGCAATAAAAGAAACAACTCTTTTGAAATTATTTTTCCTTGTTCCTGCTGATAATATTTTAAAATATCACGTTGGCAGGTTTGACGAGAAAATTTTTTAAATGCAGGATAAAAACCATCTCTAAACATATCTTCAAATTCATCATCTTCTACTAATTTAAAAGGAAGGTTTTTAAGAATGATAAACCTGATTACGCATTTCCTGGCTCTGGCAGCGTCATAGTTCCAACTACCGAGACTACCAGAAGAGGAGGATTGAAAAATCATAGATTGTCGGATATCACATTGAGGGGTCTGGCCTTTGTTGTGTTTATCTAAATGGCGTTTGAGGTGGTTGGTGCCGCTCTTATGATGAGCTTGAAAAATCTTGCCGCACAATGCACACTTAGCCTTCTGAGTGAGGATCCTACCGTGTTCATCCTTGGTGACGTCGATCTTCTCGTAAAAATTCCACACATCGGATCTTGGCCTTTTAGGAGCTCTTGGTGTAGATTCGTCGCCACCGGATTCGGGATTAATTTCGATAGGAGTAGACCCAGTAGGAGGACTCATTTCAGGATTGGGAGATATGTTTTGCTCTTCATAATCAGATCCGGAAGCCATTTGATGAAAGGATTAGAAAGTATAAATAAGAGAGTATAAGAGTATAAGAGAGAGTATAAGAGTATAAGAGAGAAGTAGATAAGTTATCAACAAAGAGCCACACACGGTTACAACAGCAATCCATGATCCTCTTCCAATCACACCAAATATACAAAACCTCATTTATGTTTGGATTCTCTTTCAAAATTATCTTCTTTGCCTCTAAGGCCTTCACCCCCACCAGCTCTGTCCATTTTGGCTTCCCTGCATGGAAAAAGAATATATATCAAACAAGGATCTATTATCCATGATAGAACCCAATATAATGTTGCGCTTTGGAATTTGTTGTAGTTTGATTTTGGCAGATAAACCCCCAAATGAAAAGTATTGGATATTTATCCTCGAATGGACTCACTCGTTTCACCTAAAGGTAATATCAATTTATCAAATTTTAACTCAGGATAAAATAGTCAAGATTTTTAATTCATGAGTTAATGTCTACGAAAATTTAATTACTGGGGTAATAAGGTTAAAATCAAGATACTACATGGGTTCTATGTGCAATTATCCCAAAAATAATAATAAGGATGCTTTTTTTTGCGGTTAGTTAAACATAGAGTCCTTATGATATTACGGTTTGGAATCGTGTAATCTAATTTTGATAGAGAGATCCTAGATGAATTTCCCAGATTCTTCTACCCTTGGATTTATTGAATAATCTCCCTCGGGGGTAATATATGCCAAAAGTCCAAAAAAGTCGAGGTGGGGGGTGCAAGAAGAGGAAGAAGGGGGGAGAGAGAGAGAGAGAGAGAGAGAGAGAGAGAGAGAGAGAGGAAGAGAGGGTTAGGGGAGAGGAGGAGGAGAGAAGAAGAAGTGAAATGAGCAGTTAGGGGAGAGTACGAGGAGAAATGCACAGACAAGAAGAAGAAGAAAAGGGGAGAGGGTATTTACGAAATTTGTTTGAGTTAATTTTTGGGAGAGTGTGAAGAAGGGCTTGATCACAAATTATTGGGTCTTTTGGGGTTTAAAGCACATGGGAAAAACTTCATGGGGCTGTGCCACATGAGGTCTTTGTTTTTGGGGCATTGACACATTTTTTCCAATATTTTATTATAACATTTATTAAATAATGACAATAATTTTTAATATTATATAACTTTATTTATAATATCATTAATAATTGTAATTATGTACAATAATTTATTAAGTAATTATTATTACTATTTTACTATAACTAGTAATTCTTTATAATAAATTATAATATATTTTATAAATTTTGTTATAATTATAAATTGTTAACATATTCTAGTGAATGACCAAATATTTTTGGAAAATGAAGGTGCATAGTTAATAAGAGGTTATGGATCATTAGTTTTATAGATAATGGTATAATAATTATGAATTATCAAAAATTGAAAGGGTAAAAAAGAAAATCAAAAGTTTTGACATAGATATTCTCTTTTATAAAAAGTATAGATATAGATATAGATATAAATAAATATAGATATAGATACAAATGATCACTGCTTGAGAGCATCCAATTCTTTTATAGCAAGCAAGGAATATATGGTTATGCTAATTTGGGCGGGAGTCTGATGGTGCAAGTTAGCGAGAGATCTAAATCTTGCTAACTTGCGCCCCTGCCTTGTTTTCATGGCGAAGAAGAAGAAGAGGAGCGGTAAAAGTCTTTTTAATATAGGATTGAGAGCATCCAATTCTAATCAGGCTGAATCTGGTGATCAATTTGATATGAGTTTTGATGAAGATGATGATGATGTTGATATTATTGCAATGGGCTCGACTAGTCCGAATGGGGAAAAGAAGAAGGTATTAATGGAGGATCTACTTCGATCTAAGGATCTAATGGCTTCTCAGCAAGTGGTGAATTCTTTCCAGTTGAATAGAGCTCAAGCTCCTCGTATTCTCAATTCAGGAGATAGAGCCAGCAGTTCCAAAGTTTCATGGGCGGATGATGTTGAATTTGAGGTACTTTCTCCTGATTCAAATTTGATTCAGAAAATTTCTACATCTCCTACAAGATTCTCTGGTTCTGATCCTGTGAATACTGCGGATAAGAGGAATCCAGTTGAGATCAGGACTGAGGATATTGTTTCCTCAGAAACTGATGAATCAAATAGGAATGTTGATAAAAATCCTGTAAATTCTAATGAAAAATCAGAAGAGAATGGCTAGGAAAAAATACAGAAAAATGAGGAAAATGTGGAAAAGATGGAATCAGTAACAAATAAAACTTTTGCTAGCTTGTTTACTGATAATAGAAAAGCAGGAAATGGACTATCTCTAAACTATTTGCCATCGTATAATGCTAACACAGTCTCATTTTCTGATGAAGAATGGAAGGAAGGAGAAAATTTATGGGGAAATGCCCTAATTGGACATGTCATAGGATTAAATGTCAAGTTTAAATCAATGGAATCCTATGTTAGCAAGTTATGGGGATCTATTTCTATACCGAAGGTTTCCTTAATCAAGCAGGGACTCTTCCTTTTTGATTTTCATTCAGAGAAATCAATGAGAGATATTCTTGAAGCAGGACCCTGGTTCTTTGGATCTCGGCCTCTTATGCTAAAACCTTGGAATATTGAAACAGATTTGGATAGAATGCAAGATTTCTACTATCCTATGTGGATACAATTACCAAACTTAAGACTAAATCTCCGGAGCTCTACAGGAATTAGTAAAGTTGCTAGTCTTATTGGAAAGCCTATTTCAACTGACAAGCTAACTGCAACTAGACAGAGACTTAGCTATGCAAGAGTTTTAATAGAGGTGAAATTACCTTTAAATGATTCTCTGCCAGACCAGTTGACAATCAAAGGGCCTGATGGATCTAGCTATGTTCAACCAGTCATATATGAGTATAAGCCTAAATGGTGTACAATATGCTGTAAAATTGGCCATGATAATGAGCAATGTAGAAGAATCAAAACAAAGAAAATGTGGGTTCCAGTAGCTAAACAGACTGTACAGGAGGAAGTCAATCCTGAGCTTATTGTTACAGGAAACAACTTTACTCAACAAGATTCTGATGCCAATATTGGCACTAGTGCTCAGGAAGGAAAAGCAGAAAGTCCTTTTGATTCCCCAAATCAGAAAGCTTTGTTAACTGGAAAACGTGCACAAAAACATGCACAGACAGTTTTTGCTATTCAGGTGAATGAAACTGGGACTGGAAAAGCAGTAGAATATGGGATAAATGCAATAAATGATTTGCAATCTCATCAAGCTACACCAAGTGTTAATGCAACTGGTTTTTCCAGTATAAGCAGGGCAAAAATTACAAGAAGAGTTTCTATAATCAAACCTGCTAACCCAGGTATTCAGTTATCCCTTTTCTCTTCTTTGGATAATCCCTCATGTGTTGACAGGGGTGGGAGCTCTTTTTAATGCACATTGCTATTTGGAACATAAGAGGATTTAATAAATCCTCTAAACACAAGATAGTGAGACAGTTTATTCAAGATTACAATCTCTCATTGTTGGGTCTTCTGGAAACTAAAATTCCTGGTAGTAAACTTCAAAGTTTGACTATGAAAATAACAAAAGACTGGAAGTGGATTTGTAATGTTCATGAAGCTGGTAATGGAAGGATTTGGTTACTGTGGGATAGTGATATTCTTACAATGCAAGATACAATCTTAACAGACCAATACATTACCTGTTGGATAGAATCCAGAGATGGTAAATTCTCCAGCTTATGTACTATTGTTTATGCCCACAATCAAATGACAAGCAGGAGAATTCTTTGGAGTGATCTTTTGACTTTTTGTACTATTGTTTATGCCCACAATCAAATGACAAGCAGGAGAATTCTTTGGAGTGATCTTTTGACTTTTAAAAATAATGTTACTGGTCCCTGGGTTATTGGAGGGGACTTCAATGCGATTACTAGTTATGATGAGAAGATAGGAGGTGTATCTGTATCAGAATCTGATATTGAGGATTTTCAAAACTTTATCATTTCCAGTCACCTTCTTCATTTGAAATCTACTGGATGCTACTTCACTTGGAACAATAAGCAAAATGCAGATACAAGAATTTGGTCCAGATTAGACAGATGCTTAGTAAATGAAGACTGGATTCATCTATATACAACAAGCCAAGTTGAATATCTACTACCTAGCTGTTCTGATCACTCTCCTGCTCTTCTAACCATTGAAGATGATATTATAACTGGTAAGAGGCCATTCAAATTCTTCAACATGTGGGTAAAGCATCCTGACTTCATGTCTACAGTCAAAGCTATTTGGGAACAAAACATAGATGGTTTTAAAATGTACAGTTTCCATTCCAAGCTCAAAATGCTAAAGACTGCTCTTAAAGATCTAAATAAGAAGCACTATATGAATATTAGTGAGCAAGTTCTTAGAGCAAAAAATAGCTTAACTGAAGTTCAAGGGCTACTGTCTGGGGATCTTTTCAATCCTGATCTGATAAGAAGAGAAAAAGATTGTATCAAAAAATATGAAAGGCTTCTGGACTGTGAATCATCTTTTTACAAGCAGAAAGCAAACATTGATTGGTGTCTAGATGGGGATAAAGGTACTAAATTCTTCCATTCCATCATGAAAAAGAAAAGGCATCAAAACAGAATTATATCTCTTTATACAGAGAATGGGATTAGGATCACTGACAGTGCTGATATTGTTACTGAAATTGTGGATTATTACAAAAATTATTGGGGACTTCAATTCAAACAGTTCATCCTGATCCAATGGTTATTGCAAATGGCCCTCTTCTATCTTCTGATCAAAGTCATGAGCTGAGCTCTCCAGTTACAAGGGATGAGATTAAACAAGCTGTCTTTTCTATGGCAAATGATAAAAGTCCAGGCCCAGATGGTTTCAGTGCCCTCTTCTTCAAAGCATCTTGGAGTATTATCAGTGAAGAACTTTTCTCTGCAGTCGAAGAATTTTTCAAATCAGGAAAACTGCTTGGTACCTTCAACTCCACTTCTATTACTTTGATACCTAAGATTCATAATCCTCAACATGCTGCAGATTTTAGACCTATATCTTGCTGCAATTGTGTGTATAAAATCATAACCAAAATCATTGCATCCAGAATTCAAAAGGTAGTGGGATATCTGATAAGTGATGCTCAGAGTGCTTTTGTGAAGGGTAGGCTTATATCAAGCAATATCCTTTTAGCACATGAGATTGTTAAGCATTATGGTAGGAAAAACAATTCCCCTAGCGCCATATTAAATATTGATTTGAGGAAGGCTTTTGATACAATTAGTTGGGTGTTCATCAATAACATGCTGAAAGGTTTAAGATTCCCAGACAACATGATTTCCTGGATTATGGAGTGCATCTCTACCCCAAAATTTTCCATATCTATAAATGGTACTCCTCATGGGTATTTCCAAGGTGCTAGGGGGTTGAGGCAGGGAGATCCCTTATCACCTTATTTGTTTGTTATTGGAATGGAATATCTGTCTAGGAAATTAAACACTCTCAAGGGGGACAGGCTCTACAGGTTTCATCCTAAGTGTTCAAGACTAAAAATAACTCATCTAGCTTTTGCGGATGATCTTCTTCTTTTTGGCAGAGCTGATATGAATATAATATCAAGACTAAAGGATTGTCTAGCTGAATTCAGTAAAACATCTGGCCTTGAAGCTAACCCATCCAAATGTTCCATATTCATGAGTGGAGTAGATGATAATCTGAAGAACCAAATCTGCAATCTTCTCAACTTCACTGAGGGTACTCTGCCTTTGAAATATCTGGGACTACCCCTGATAGCTAAAAGACTCTCTTGGATGGACTGCTCTCCCCTTATTAATAAGATTTCAGACCAATTTAATAATTAGCTCAAGAGAAGACCCCTCTCGTATGCTGGCAGGTTACAATTGATTAAAACAGTGATTATGGGAATACAAAACTACTAGACCAGTAACTACATACTCCCTATCAAAGTTCTTCAGAAAATAGATAAAATGTGCTCAGATTTCTTGTGGGGGCATAAAATTCATCTGGTGAGCTGGGGTTCTATATGTCAGGAAACTGAACATGGGGGTCTTGGAATATACTCTGAAATTCATCTGGTGAGCTGGGGTTCTATATGTCAGGAAACTGAACATGGGGGTCTTGGAATATACTCTGTTGTGCATTGGAATTATACTATGGCGGCCAAACTTCTTTGGATGATTCATCTCAAGAAGGATATTCTTTGGATTAAGTGGATTCATGGTCACTATCTAAGACAGCATTCTATCTGGCAAGTCCAACCAAGGAAGAATGATTCATGGCAGTGGAAGCAGCTTCTAAGAGTGAGGAATTTGCTGATTGATAAATTTGGTAGTGTGAATAATCTCCAGAATGTCATCAGGGATAGCTGTGCTAATGATAAAATCAAAGTCTTAGTGTTGTGTAGGAGAATTTTTCAGTACTCAAACCTGGCTACGTGGTCAAGGACTGTTTGGGGTGGATGGAATCTACCTAAACATTCATTTATTCTCTGGTTGGCATTCTTATCAAGGCTGCTAACACAAGAAAGACTTTGCAAAATGAGAATTCTGAACTCAAATCAGTGCACCCTATGTTCAAGAGAAGGACAGATTGAAACCTGTCAGCACCTTTTTTTCGAATGCCAATATTCAGCTAGTGTTTGGAATCAAGTTATGGATTGGCTATGCTTCAAAAGGAAATCACGCAGGTGGGATCAAATCATCAGCTGGTTTGGGAACAATTTGAGAGGGGAAAGTTTCAAAATAAAGCTTAAAAGGATGGCATTATCTACTTCAGTCTACATGATTTGGCAAGAGAGGAACTTGCGTATATTTCAACAGCAACTAAGAGGCCTGATCATCTCTTTAGCTTGATAAAGATACATGTATATACAAGGATTTTGAATGATAATATACCTCAGCACATAAAGAACTATGTAGAGAATTTTTAGTTTTTGAAGACTGTTTCTGTAACCAGTCTTGAGATAGACATTGATGTATTATAACTTCCATATATTGGTAATGAATAAAAATTTTCATTGACCAAAAAAAAAGATCACTGTTTCATCCATCATGTTTTCTTTGGAGGTGGAGTAAAGAGTGCGCAAACTATCTTTTGGTTTGCTTACATCTAAATATTTTTATTATGTTAAAAAGAAAAACATAAATTAAAAAGCTCCAAGTAAGAGCCAATTGGCTGAAAGATTTTCACTTCAATCAGAGGAGGAATATTTTGTGGCCCTCTTGTTTACATAGGGCATACGTCCATGCGTGTCTAGAAAGACATTCTCTCTTTACCAAAATAAATCTTGAAGAAATCTATTATTCATGCATATTTGAAAGTGCATGTCCTAGTATCTAAATCAAATGGAAAATAAATTAAAGAAAAGATATTGTTCCTTGAGTTGAGCCTTATCATCCATTTTGACAGATACATATGAATCCAACCTGTATTGGACTTCTTACCTATTATAGCCTGCAATCATGCCTATATAAATCAACATCAATGGATTGATTTAGCACATGCAGAAGAATCTCACTTGAAGATCTAATGGCTAATGAAATCCATCTCATTAAAGGTAAAATGAGTGTAAAACTCTAAAGTCTTTGTGATCGTTATGTTCAGAGGCACAAAGTTTGATCCCATCTTATTCTTGCGCCAAAGGTAATATAATAAGAAAAATTTCTCTATATTCCTTTTCTTTTTAACAATTTGTTAACCTCTAATTTTTGGCAAATTGTTTTTTGCTTGTGTATAGAACAGAAATTTGGCTACACTGGAGGATGAAGGTCCATAGACTTGCCGTGAAAGTTTCACAAGCAGAATTCAACACTATGTACAATCTTTTGAAGAAAAAGTTATATATTTGTACATAGTAGTGGGAAATTACGTAAGGGAAAAGCAATATTGATCGAGTTTTCTCTTGTAAGTACATTATGGTTTATATAGAAATAATTGTTTATAACCTGATATGTGTTGTATGTTGGTAAATTTTAGTCCCCCCGCGTACTACAATCTCCGCAACTCGGAAGCTAACCCACAATCAACAAGATAGAAAACAACCGCAATCAAGAAGAAAGAACACTGATATTTACGTGGTTCGGTCGACCAATTTCGACCTACGTCCACAGGCAACAATACGAGAAATCCACTATGTATCATGGAGAACTACAAGATGAACCACTCAACTCTCGTCTCTCAATCTCTCAACCTCACATACATAATCAACTCTCATATTATCTCCAAAGTCCCCTCCTTACAATCTTTTGAATGGGCAAAGACTGTGAAACCCTCTCACAATGTTATAATCTTTTGCACGGATAAAGACAACGAAACCCTCGCCTCTCGCACAATATTCTTGAATCAGGCTACGCCCTCTGCTAACCCTAGATTACAAGAATATTAGCTCTCTCTCCTCTGCTTAGTTTTCCTCCAACAATAGAAGAATATATATAAAACCAAAACCCTATCTCTAGCCTAACTTCCTAATTAGAATAAGATTCAAACTCCTAATCATGATGAGACTCAATCTCCTAATCATGATAGATATCTAACCCTATCTAATTCTTATGAAGTTATACAAAGAATCAAAAACACAATCCCAACAATCTCCACCTTAAATCTAATTCACAAACTCCATTGAAAATATATCATTGTCGTCTTGAAACTTTGTCTCTCCTGCTAGTGTCTTCTATTCCATTCGAACTTCAAATCGAAGCACCTACACTCCAACTGGATGCCCCTATGACCCTCACTTTCATCTATCTCGTTATGGCGTCTCCACCTGAAAACAACCTAGGGGGGGGGGGGGGATAGGGTTAATGCTAATCTAATCTGATTTAATGCCAATTTAAAACTTATTAATTATAAACTCTTACAAGTATGATATTCAATGAGATATGAGCAAGTTTATGGAATTAAACAAGGGCGAAATAAACATGAACTAATGGCGATATAACAATATAATGAGCACAAGATAAAGACGCCAAGGCAAACACAAACGAAATAATCACGGAGTTCGGTCCTTCCGACATACGTCTCCGCTCCCCACTCCCAGGGAGAATCCACTATCACAACCGATTTTTAACGCTAACCGAAAACGTTTGCACATCATAATATCGGTTTTCAACGCTCACCGATCAACGTTCATAATAACTCACAATGCAACTACACAAATACCACCTCAAGTTGGCTTCTCGCGTGTCTCCCTCAAGTGCTCGGAATTACTACCTCTCACTAGGTTTTACTACCGATGCCACTCCTCTTGGGACCGACCACGTCTCTCACCTCTACACTCCTCTTGGTGTACTTGTATAATACAATATGACCTCACAAATAAAAGCTTAAATACAAATAATTTATTCTCTAAATAAGGTGAGAACTCAATTAAGCCCAACTCAATGTTACAATCTCATAACCCTAAATACTATGTATAAAAATACTAAAAGTTCAAGTGGGTGTGTGTAACAAAGAGAAAATCAAATATAAACTCAATGTAAACTCTAGCTTATGGAAATTACAATCAAAATAATAAATAGCTAGAATTGAGTTTAAGGAAACTTCTCTATGATGACAAGAGAGAGAGAAAGAGATTGAGATGAAGCTCAAACACCAAGGATGATCTCCTCTAGCTCTTGTGAAAATCTCTTCACAAAACCAAACTTTGGAACAAGACTTTAAACAACTTTAAACAAGCTAAACAAAAAGTAAACTCTTTTAGAAACTCTCTTAAACTTGTTTAAAATATTCTCTTGGTTAGGTAAAAATAGTTATGGTAATGTGGTATATATAGGATCATAGAATAAGCCCCA